TGAATACTCAGAAGAGCAGTGGCTTGCATAAGGCATGCCCGCATGCCCACATGCCCACATGCCCACAAGCAGAAGCACCCATGTGGTTACTTCCCAGAATGCTTTGCTCTGCTTGATGCTGAGCTGCCCTTCAGTGACCAGTCCTCAGGGATGTTTACACCAGCCAGAATGGGGAAGATGGTGATGGACACAGTGGCTTGCGGGCCACAAGATACTTCAAAATGAAAGCTGTTCCTACCAATACTGTTGTGTCAGAAGGGGGACAGGGATTAACAGAGGAGTGGGTCCCACTGCCACCTTCTGAAAGGGACTGCAGAACTTATAGTTCTGCTCTCCAATTACCAGCCCCCAAATTAAGCTGTAACAGAAAAATCCTTTCAGATTATGGCTCTCCAAAGGGATCTAAGTCTGGGGTCTCTCACCGTCTATTCATTTAATCACCATTTAATGATCTTCTACTCTATGCCAGCACTGCTGACATAGCAGCAGATAAAACATATGAAATCCCCAAACATATGGAGCTTTGAGTCTAATGGGAGATACAGAGAAGGAAATGGCAATTAAAATACACGATAGGGAAAGTGCAAGTGCTGACACAGCACAAAAGAGGGACACCTCCCCACTGCAAAATGGTCTGGGAAGGAATCCGATACTCCACCAGTAATGACATCTGAACTGAGACCTGAAGGATGAAAAGGAATCGACAACACAGAGTGCTCTAAGCAGAGGGAAAATGTGACTCACACCCGGAGCTGAGTTTGAAGAGCAGTGGAACTGAAGCATAGAGTTTGCAGGTTAGTTGATGATAAGGTACAGCAGTTATCCAGCAGGTACTGGGTACCAGTGTTGTGCAAATTGGATGGTATATATCATCTCATTGGATTTTCACAGCATTCCTCAGATGCACCTGAGACGAAGAGATGTTAAGTGCTTTGCCCATGGCCATACTGCTGGTAAATGGTGCAGCCAGGAATTAATGTGCAGCTGACAGTCTTAACCCCCAACTCTCACGCCCTCGTCTAACTCAGATGAATAAACCAGATGGCGGGGCTTCAGCTCAGGCCTCTATCCTTCACTAACAGAGGCACCAACCTAATCCTGAGGTCCCAATCCATCCCAGATGCTGACATTTCTATGACTTCAGAATCCCTGTCCAGTCCTTGAGAACTTGCCCATAAGTAGGAACCAGTTAGCCCTTTCCCAGTCGATAGCTCCCTTGTTAGCAAGCCAGGTTTCCACATTGAGGCGCTGCTTCCCTAGATTTTTAACAAACTAGAGTCTGATCTCGGTCCCCTTGCCTAGATCCCACAGCTCAGACCTCAGACACCACCCTCTGCCTCTTGTCTTTGGACTTCTTCCCATGTTTTTATTCCACGAGTATCCCCAGGTGGCTTTTGGGTTCCTGTGCTCTCGCTGTTCTCTGGAGTCTAGTCCTCGGTATAGTCTGACTACAAAACACTGCTGAAAGAACCTCTTTATACATGTAGGTGGCCATGAATTTCCCTAGGCACAGCATTGTGGCCAACTTTTCCCATTTCAAAACCCACTTTTGACCTCCCTATTCTCTGAATCCATAGTGCATCACCCGCCTCCTCCCATGTAGGCTGCTGGAGTTAGTAGTCAAATCCTGTTGCTTTGCTTTTCAGACTGTTTCGCAAAGAGGAAAGCTATCATTTCTCTCTTGACTTGACTATTTAAAGATGCCCTGCCCTTCTCCCAAACCACAAGAACATGTAAATTAATCAAAGTGGCTGTTTTCTAAGCAAATCAGAAATCTCTTCTTAAGAAGAATTCTATAATCACTGTAGAGCTACCAAAATAAATAGCTCAGTCTGTAGCCAACTTTGAAAACAAAATTTTCTAACACTAAATGTGTATTTTTGCATACATAAAGATACACAATTTTCTATGTATATACATTTATTTTGTATTCATATTTGTATCTGTAGTACAGTATTCATGCTAATCATATAGATATTTAACCTGTATCCACTGCGTATCTTTCTCTCTTTGGGCTTCAGCTGATTTCTCCAGCCTCTTTAGGTGTGGAACTCTTCTATTTAGCAGGCTACAGGTATTTTCTGGTATAGCATCGCTTCTTTTTGAATATTCTGTGGCTCCCTGGAGGGCCCAAGTCTTAACGTATGGAGGTTTATTTTTTTATTTTCTTACAAGGCAAGAGTTCTTTATTGTCTACAAAGATGCTTATAAATAGCTTCAATTGAAACAATCATTGTTATGAGAATAAATTAACTGCTCAGTCAATAATCCCCACAGTTTTCTACATCTTTAGATATATTGTTGTCCTCTTCTTCTAACCATGATGATATTGTAAACCTTATAAGTATGTTTGCTATAAGTTATGAAGACCAACTTAAAAGGATAACTGTCACTTAGTATTTCACACACCCATCCAATAACGTTTTTCCGTTTATGAAGGAGTCATCATTTGACAGTTCTGTCCGGGGGGTCTTTATTCCTTTTCAGTTCTAAATTGCTTGAACATGACTTCTGTTCCTGACAATCAATTTCTTGCCGAACTCTTTGCTGTCTAGCATCTCAAATTCCTTTTTTTAAGGCCACCAGTGACCTTCTCTTCAATTTAAAGTGAAGTTTCCCTTGTTCCTATATTTTGAGCCTTTCCATTGCCTTTTATCTGGTTGGCCACTGCATTCTCAATTACACTTTTTTTTTTTCTGTTTTCAGTAACACCAGTTATACCTGGTGCAAGTTATACATTTGGTCACTTAGCTTTTATATCCTTTGCCAGTTCTACACCTCTTTGTATCCTTCAAATATCCATGTGTTCCAAAGGACTCTTGCTATATTTATATTAAAATTTGAGATATAACTCAAAGTGCATAACCTATGAATTGTTCACACATTAGTGAGCAGGAGGCTGCAGAGGTGGGCAAATATTTTAATACCCCAGGAAAGTCCATTCAACTTTTCGTTTTATAATTAAAATTCACTTGCAACTCAGTGCCTTTGTTTTCCCCTGGGGCAAATACATTTCTTGCGAGCCTCTAAGCGCCTGCACCATTTACGCAGCTGCTATCCTTACCCAAACATTATGCCAGATGCTGGAGATCCAGTGATGACTCAAAACAGACTCTGCCATTATTTTCATAAAGATTAAAGTCGAATGGGGAAGACTGGAATTAATAACTTTATTAACCAAGAAATCCTCTAACTCCAACTCTAGCCAGTGTTAAATATTATTGCAAGAGACTATAATAGGAAGATTTGACCCTGTCAAGGAACTCAAGGAGTACTACCTTAAGGATGCAACTCTTTAATAGAGATCTGAATGATGAGTAGGAGTTCAATATACGAGAGGAACCTGCTAACCAGAAGGACTGGCACAAGCTAAGTCTCAGTGGTGGGGCAGAGAAGAGATTGTAAGAGAAGCAAAAGGAAGGCAAATGTTCCCAGCATGCACACAGCAACCATGCTGGGCCTTGCAAACTGGATTAGTTTTGTCATTAGCTTGCAGGTAATGGAAAGCTACCAAAGAATTTCAGGTGACAAGGGGACGAAGAGAGGCTATGGGGAGAGGGGAAAACACGAATGTCACGCTCAGATTTATTCTTCCATGTCAAGCTTTGTGTTGATTTTCGACCCTTAGTACCATCTCTTCCTTCCTGATCTAAAGCTAGCAGGCGGTCCTAATAGTTTAGATTTAGTTCTTTTGTCTGAATCAAAGGCCTCTAATTCTGAGTCTCTGTACTTCGTTCAGCTCCCTTTTCACAGACTTTCCACAGTATTTAAATTCAGGAACAAACTCAATTTAACCTTCTAGCCAAGGCTTATACTTATGCACTTACGACCAGGTTGTCCCTACTGGTTTTTCACAACCAGTATTTGTTCTGATAATTAGGTGCTAATGAGCTTCCCATCGTCCCTGCCTCCGGTCCTACCAAACACTGGTCCTTACCCGAACACACTGTGCCTTCTCCTCCCATTCTGCCTTTGTACTTACTGGAGGCACCTCTGTCTGATCTCGACCTGGAAAACACTCTACTCATTTTTTAAAAGTCAGATAAATGATGGCTTATTTTGGAAACTTTTTTCTAATTTTTACAGGTAGAGGAAGTCACTTCTCGCCTCTGCTCCCTCAGGACTCTGCAAACCTCTAATATAGAACTTATCACAATGTTGTATAATTATTTATATTCGACTTTGTGTTGACCTCTAGACCATGAGCCCTCGACAGCAGTGGTGGTAGTTTGTTCATTGTGGACATGCCACAGGTGCTCAGTAATAGTGTGTATTTAAAAAAATAATTTATAGAGTAAGAGCATTTAGAAGTAAAGGAGAAAAAACACCTTAGTAAAATGACTGTTTTTTTTTTATGTTTTACACATATATTAACATCTTGATTCTACAAGATTATGAACTCTGGGGAACTTAATATTTCTATACTTATCTATTTGTATCTCTCTTGATGTAATGTTGGACACATGGTAGATACTCCACTAAAACAGAACAAAATAAACTACACACACACACACACAAACACACAGATTTTTAAAAATGAAAACATTTATTTTGCCTTTTAGGGTGTGTTGGGGATACAGAACAGCATGAGTTAGAAAAGGACTTTAGCCCAGTTCTGTCACCATTTCGTCATCCACATGAGACCATAAGCTGTTGGAAAGTATTAGAGTGTTGACCTTTTTATACACACATATATATATATATCAGAATAAATTGAACCTTTTATAACTGCAAGTTTGAAACTTTCATCAACTCACAAAAAATAACAGAATAAAAAGGTAAAGGCAAATAGAGTAAAACAGAGTAAAAAGTAGAAGGCAAAGCTAAAGAATTTTCCATTTGTGTTATACACATATAGGTATATTTATACATATATGTATGTATGTATATACACACACATAATGATGTCCTGTATCAAGTAATGTTAAAGTTGCAAAAAGCTCCTAAAAGGTATTTAATCTAAATTTATTTAATTCATTTTTTTATGTTAAAAATGTGAAATCTAAGACATATCAGAA